CAACTTACCGATGAGAAAGACTCCGATTCTTTGGCTCTGTTTTGCCAGCACGGCCTGATCCAAAATCACGGCGGGCTTCCGTCTGGGAGCAGCAGTTTTTTTGTTGTTGTTGTTTTTTCCGCAGAAGTAGGTATTCCTTTTTACAGAGCAGTCTGAACTCGTCGTCATCTAGAGTAGCGGCCATCATGCTCTATGAAAGTCAGGACGCGCTGCCACTTGTCCTCTTTCAATATGGAACATCATCCACGTGACGAAGCCACCGAGACAACTGTTCGCCTTGCGCGACATGCAAAGCAACGCAACAACTAGCTTGCTCAAGCAGTTATGAGCTGTGCTCTCCCGGTGTCTTTGTCGCACTCGTCGTATTCGTTGTTTTCGTTGATGCGAATGCAGTCGATGCAAACGTCTGAATCGGCCCTAAATATAAGTATACCGCGTACTTTTTACCAGAAGCTAATAAATAAATCTGAAAACTTTATAATTTTGTTAAATATCGAAATTAGTATCCTCAAACGAATTCAAGGGTTGCAACCATGTGCTTCGCAAGTGCGGAAAATCACATATGTTCTCAATCAATGTGAAAGGGAACGCAAAATTTCGCATGTGCGGTTCGTCGCTTCACCGATTTCGCAGAAGAAAATCGCACCATGTGAATCAGGCTTTAGGCACTCGTTCTTTTTGCAAACTGCACAAGAATGGAACGAGCTCCCAGCACATATCGTGACCACCGGAATTCGAGAAGAGTTAAGCTCCCTTGTTTCAGACATTTTTGCCAACGGTACCTAGAGTTGTCATGTGTGTGTGTGTGTGTGTGTGTGTGTGTGTGTGTGTGTGTGTGTGTGTGTGCGCGTGCGTGCGTGCGTGTGTGTGCGTGCGTGCGTGCGTGCGTGCGTGCGTGCGTGCGTGCGTGCGTGCGCGTGTGCGTGTGCGTGTGTGTGTGTGTGCGTGTGTGTGTGTGTCAGAAGACATCAAACACACAGCAACACGCCCGAATCGGCAAAACGGTAGTTTCCGCAAGTTGGTTTCGTTGCAACCTTTTAGTTTTTAGCCTGAAAGACTGCAGGTTGGTGCCGCTTTAATTAGAAGAGTCATTTTGGGGAATATTGATATTCGACTCAATTAAAAAGATGCTGAACCGAAATTCGGATTTCACAAAATACGCTTGCAGAAGTGTTCAGCAGGGCGCCCATAAACTACGAAACATCACTCACATACCCATATCTCGAGCGGATGGCCGTATTTCTAAGAAAATAAAGGAGCGAAGGAGGGAGAATGTTGACGTCATCTTATCGCAGCAGAGTTGAGAAGGAGGAGAAATGGCCTCGGCTCCCCTCCCTCTCCGCGCCCTCGCGGAGTCAAAGCGAAAAGAAGAGGAAATGAGAATCGCGAGGTCACGCGTCTTTTCGGCCTTGTGCGAGAGCCGCTCTTTTTTTTTTCGGAATTACGGCGATCCGTTGAAGATACCGCGTTATGAGTGATATTTTGGGATTTATAGCGATTCTGCGTTGTTTTCTGAAATTCAATGTTCGGGTCAGCATCCCTTTAAAGTTGGGATTTATAGCGATTCTGCGTTGTTTTCTGAAATTCAATGTTCGGGTCAGCATCCCTTTAAAGGAGGATATTATATATAATGTATTAAAACATGTTTGAGCTGAAATTTCTTTTAAATACTAGTATCAAAACGCAAAGCCGAGGTTTATAAGTATGATTCTGTTTTTTGAGCGAATTCGAAAGGTGTTTAGAGGAGTTTATTTTCTAAAACAAAATCTGAGTTTTTTTTCGGAAATTCCTTTTATGGTACACAAAAATACGAAGTTTTCGGCTTTTATCTGCACGAATAAAAGTCAGAAAAGAGCAGTTTAAAAATTCTGACCAACAATTTTTTTTTTATTATTATACATGAGACTATATTCAATTATTGCCGTAGAGATTTGATGACGCATTTCGTTGACAGGAAGCCAAAAGTCATTTTTTGTGGAGCTTACGCACAAAAGTTAAAACAAAAAAAGAAAAGAAGCGCCAAGTTGTTCAGAAAAAAATATATATAAGAAAAAAAAATAAAACAATGAAGTTCATAGAACTGGCAGTCTTGAAATTCGAAGCTTTTCGGATAAACCCGAATCGCCTAATTTTTTACCGGCAAGTGTTTTTCGGAGTTCATCGAATTTATCCGAGAACGCAGAGCCCTACTATAAGGAGAGCAAAAGCAAATTGAATGCATGACTGGGCATAGAGAGATATCTTAAACTTGTTCTACATTTGTACACTTGTGGGTCCCAGAATTAAATCTAGGATCGGAAACAAGAAAGGTTTATTAATTGACCATTAGAAACAATAATTGGTCAATAGGAACTGAAAATTCTAAACGAGATATGTCATAAATGCCTATTATAAGTTTTCACATAAAACAAGAGCACTATATTACGGAACACCTGTCGTTTATTTGAATAAGTTAAGACATATAATTAAATAGACTGGTTAGACACATTTCACAGCGGACTTTCACCGTCCATGTGAAGCGCAATAGTGCGTGCATATTGCAACCCCAAGATTCTGGAACACGATCTACTTGCGCCCTCTCTTGTTAGGTGTGCAATATCGCTGAAAAACAGTCAAATCTAGCGATCCGAATAAAATCACGCAAAGTTCCCCCGGGATTATTGATATCATTGTGATTGATAACTTCAGGAAAATTTTCACCACTTCGTCACTCTTTCTCTAGGTTTCCAGGAAATAAGAGTGATATCCCCATAGACTGCCATTGAAATCTCGCTTTATTTTTCACGTTCAGTGAGTTAATAAAGCAACCCCTCAATATTTCAATAAGTTCCCTCAGGTATATATTCTAGAAGATTTATGCTATCGAAATATTCAAGCAGTTTTCATGTATATTAATTATCCCAGGTTCCCAGCGAGATAATTAATTACACCTGTAGCTTCCGCCGCGTAAAGGCATCTTTCCAACAAGAAGAGGAGTGCTACGGGAAAGACTACTTTACACTCGTCAGCAAAGGCGCACTCTTTGGTGATGTGCGCCTTTGCTGGGAACCTACAGAAAATACCTCAGACGTTTGAAAGTTCTTAAAACGTATACCCTGGTAACTGTTCAATATGATTCCCGGGGAACTTTGCGAGATACATCTTGGTTGCCGAGATACGCAGCGCTGAAATAGGCTCCTTTGACAAGATCTCTCCCCGAAGCAGTGAACCGCGCATTTTTTGGCAAAGTGCGCCTCCGCTGGGAACCTACAGACAGCGCCTCAGACGTCTGAAAATTCTTAAAACATGTACCCTGGTAACTGTTCAATATAATTCCCTGGGAACTTTCGGAGGTACGTCTTGGTTGCCGAGATACGTAGCGCTGAAGTAGGCTCCTTCGACAAGATCTCTCCCCGAAGCAGTGAACCGCGTATTTTTGGCGAAGTGCGTCTCCACTGGGAACCTACAGAGAACGGCTCAAACGTCTGAAAATTCTTAAAACATGTACCCTGGTAACTGTTCAATACGATTCCCGGGGAACTTTGCGAGATACGTCTTGGTTGCCGAGATACGTAGCGCTGAAGTAGGCTCCTTTGACAAGATCTCTCCCCGAAGCAGTGAACCGTGTATTTTTGGCGGAGTGCGCCTCCGCTGGGAACCTACAGAGAACACCTCAGACGACTGAAAATTCTTAAAACATGTACCCTGGTAACTGTTCAATATGATTCCCGGGGAACTTCGCGAGATACGTCTAGATTGCCGAGATACGTAGCGCTGAAGTAGGCTCCTACGCGCATGGAAACACCAGGGCTTGCACATTTGAATTTTGACACCATCATACTACAACCGGGCTAACGCACAGATTGAACAGGAGTGCTCAGCGTTGTGTATGGCTAGGTTGGGACTCGTGCTCAGTCACTGCGCAGACGTCAGAGTCGGACTGAGTCGCTAAGTTGATAACGTTGGAGTGTGGTGACTTCCATTAACAAAGAGGGGACAGTTAACAGGCTTTGATTAGAGCCTAGGTGGTGTTTGCTCGACGCGCTATCTATAGACCTTTCCAATAAACGCCGTCTGCGAGCTGCCATTTTTCTTTGCTGGGCTCTGGAACGCCTTCCGAGCACGCGCAATAGCTCCCTTTGCGAAATATCATACGCTACGCCTGCGTCCACAGCCCAGTGACTCGGCCTTTTTCACCCGGGTGATAAGCGATGGAAAGGTGTATACTCTGTATCACTAAAACCATGCAGTGACGCCAAAGCTACAGCCCCGTATGCCAACCAGAAAATCAAACGGCACTCTGCACTATCACTCTGCGGCGCATGAATCCGCGTTGGCGGTGTCCGCTCACTTGAGCAAAAAGCAGACGATGTTCGATCTTCTGATTCGCTTACGACGGCTGTAACTTTGGCTGTATTCGCGGGTTTAGTGACACGGAGTACAGTTATATAACAGCTGAATTATGGAACTGATAGCGCATGCACGATATTTTTGATGGCCGTTAATTTCTCGTCGCTTCCCTCTGGACCAATCTTTGCTGAGTCGGCGTTGTTATGGACGATGAGTTTAGATTACGCTTTAGGGTGACCATATTTCTCAAGGTAGAAAACGGGACATCCCAACGGGGGGGGGGGGGGGGGGGGGGGGGGGAGTGAGTAATAAAGATTGAGTTTGGGAGAAAACATTTAATGAAATAACTGCTCACAGTTCAGTTGCATGCACTCATGCACTCATTTGGAAGGTCCTGCTTCGGGTCCTTCGTTGGTGTGGGCGTATTTTGCCAACGACTGAAGTTTCCTAAGCAGGACTTTATCCTGCAAGACTCGGTTATAAAAGTCTGCGCACTTATATGGGAAGTTCAACCGCACAAGTAGCATTGCTCGCAACGTTGAGACAAGAAGACGAGACTTCTCGCTTGTCCACATGGAGTTCATAATTGAAAAGACGCGCTCCACTGGAGCCGTCGTTCCAGGGAAGCACAGAGCCAGTTCCACAACCCGGGAAATCTCGGCGCAGCATACATTCTCTGTTTTCATCTCTTTAAAGACTTCCACCCATCTCTCAGAGACTGTAATACCTGAAGAGTTCCAATCTTCTAGTTTCTTTTCAATGCTTTTCTTGACAATGGTCCACTGGTGAAATAGTGCCTCTTCAAAGTCTTCTTTTGTTGTAAGCTCAAGGAATGACAGCAATTCTTCGAGGCTGCTTTGAATTTCTTGCCATTCTGGCATTTTTCGCAGCAGTACCCATTTCAGGTTTGCAGTAGCTCCATAGCTATCTTGCCATTTCTCGAGGTATTCTATGCAGGTTCCATAGAAGTCACACACCACTTTCATGAAATCATTTTCTTTGATGCTACCAGCTTCAACAAGCTCTTGGAGATGACGTTTAACATCCGTTGTCACGAACAGCTCTTGTTTTCTGGCCACAAGCACATCTCTTAGAGTGGCTATGTGCAAGGCTGCATCCATTTTTTCAAGTAAGGCCACTGCTTTTTGGAACATGTTTGTCTGAATCTTTGCAAATAGAAGCCACAACTCAGTGCATGGGTGTTCAAAATGTGCTTTCAACACCGCCGGGCACTTTTCCTGCGAGAGAAAATAGGAGCGCAGCCCTTCAAATATTTTCAGAATTCGCTCAAGTGCTGGACCGAGTGACAGGAAACGCGTGCTTCCATGTTCCAGAAGTTTGGCATACTCTATGCCAGCAAACGCACAAAACTCCTTGAGCTCTGCCACTCTCACTGTGTATATGTGGAAGTACTTGTAAACCTTTACGGCGAAGCTCTCCACGTCAAAGGGCAAGCAATCGACTCCTGACTGCAGGCAGTTGTGCACGATGTGGGCACCACAGCCAATGCCAATAACGTTCCTCCCCAGAGCTTTCTGCAGCTTTCGCCACACATTGTTCTGCCCCAATCGCTTGGCGCCACCGAAGTTTGTGTTCGTGTTGTCTGCTCAAAGACCCACGACCTTGGTCTGCAGGGAATACTTATCAATGACCGTATTGAGATACGAAGTTTGGAGGTTGGATGTTTCGCCACTGAGAGAAGAGAACTCCAACACTTTTGTTTGTACCCCGCTTCTTGGATCAAAGTATCTCACCAGGACAGGAAACATCTTTTGCTCTTTCCTGTTCGACGCATCTACACTCAGCGTGACGTAGGAGCAGTTGTTGAGACTTGCTGTCAGTTCTTCCAACGACAAGGGTGCCAAGACATTGCAGATTATTACTTCGCACTTTGTACGCGCACTACAGTACTTGGGCTGGAAGAGTTTTTTAATCAGTTGCGACGTAGAGTCATTAGACCGAAATGTCTGCCCGTGTCTGATGGTGTGGTAGGCGAACAACGCCTATGCAGCGGCCACTTTGTCAGCATCAGAGTTTTGAAGGAAAAACGAAGACACGCTGGCACTCACGGACCTGGCCTTCTCCGCGTTCTTGTGCTTCTGACTTCTGATGTGCTGGCTGATGTCGCTACGGCCTCCATGCGCAAGGGAAAACACGTTCCACAGGTTCGACAAAGAACTCTGCTGTTACAGTATGTTGGGCTAAGAAACGTATACTCATTGCGAAGATCTTCATTGAAAACACACGTGCGTTTCTTCGCCATTTTTGAAAAATAGTGTAGTGTTGCCAACCGAGATTCTACATGCGTGCTATATCCAATAACTCAAAAGAATATTTCTACACACGCGTCGAGAAAAAGTGTTTGTGGGCAACAACAGTTATAGGTCTTACTCTCTGGGTAAATATTTTAAAGTACCTACGGTTATTTTTGTAAAATACCCTTTTAACGAGCAGGCATAGTTTCGGTTTGCTTCAGCTCGCTTGGTGCCAATTTCGAAACTATGCGCCTCTGCGAAAACGGGACATGATTCTTTATTGGGTCAAAAAGACGGGACGGCAAAAACGGACCTCGAGAACGGGACTGTCCCGGCCAAAACGGGACGTATGGTCACCCTATTAAGCTGGCAGCTTTCCGGCACAAAAGGCTGGAGCGATCGCGGCTAATACAATCGGGTCTTCAATGCTTGTGCATTCGGAGACAAGGTCGCGGGGCATAATCCGGACTTCAGTGAATTTTTATGAAGCGGTATGATGGCATAACCAGTTTGTGCCCATGAGCTATGCTAAAAATATTACTTTCCTTAGAACGAAGAGTTCGAGCAGTTTGTATTCCCATTGACAGAAATTGACAATTCCGACGTTTTTTTTTTTTTTTCTTTGTGTCATGTTTGAGAAAATGCCTAATCCATAAATTACGCTGGCGCATTCGCAGTCAATACACTCCACAATAGAGACAACCTCCATCGGTTTAACTATTTAACTAGCATTTTGATTAAGGCCTCCCCAATTAGCGTCGAAATTGTCGTTGACTGAGTCATAGTAGGGAATCCGGGTTTAGAGCTGGCTGAAAAAAAAATAGATCAGCCGCTGGAATGCCGGTCGCACAGACATAATCTTATTGCGGCTGTGAGTTTTTTCTGTTTAGACACGATAGGCGCCTTTAAACCCACGTACTCGCTGTGTTTGTATCGTCCCTCGTTTTTTCCCCAGTCTCGGGGTTTTGTCTAAAATGTTACTCGCTTAGTTTCATTATATTGCTCGCGATTACACCGTAGTTACTTTACTACTGCTTCGATATTTATATAGTGAAATATCTTGAATTTTAATGAATAAAAGCCTCATTTACAACTCTGTGTTGATCTTCTATTCCAAAAAAATAGCTACTTCCAGTAGTTACATGTCAAATGAAGATTGGTTAGGCACGCGCCCTTTTTTCGAGATATGTTTTTCGAGGTTACATATGTTTGCTCAACGTATTAACATAAATATGTATATTCTTTTACGTTGTGTTGTCGCACGCAGTTCCAGTATTTGTGGTACAATGGTAAAATTTGCGGAGTAGCAACACCTAAAAACACAGACATAGTATTTTTACATATACTTTCATGCTGGCAGTAATCCAGGCACAGATTAAGCAAGAATGAATACAGTCGTGCATGTAACATAGTACGCTGGATGGGATACATGGAAAGGAGAACGACATAGATGGGGCGCTTTTTCGAGTTTGTTGTCCATCTGTGTTTGTTTTGAGATAAGTCGTAGTACAAAATGCATTTACTGTTTCCCTGTAGTAGTAGTAGTACAATATGTATGTATCGCTTCTCAGAAAACGATTCATGTCATCTTTTCTTGGTTAACGCCAACTGGGGTGAAAGGGAAGGAAGGGGGAGGAAAAAAGGTAGCCACATATGCTTCGCCAGCCCTCATAGACGAAGAAACTCTAATAGATTCCACTATGTGTTTTCTATGAGAGTTTCCCATATTCGGGAGGGCCCATCCTTCGTATGATGAGGGCCTCGTTTCCTCTTCGGGAGAGCTTATGCCACGCTTCGCGATATCGCGATACCCCGGCCCATTCCCTTACGAAGTGCGAACATATCGCCAGGGCCCTAGAGTGTTCAATGTTGGGGGCGATTCATAGGTCGTCTGGGTCCGTAGGTCTGCAAAACCTTGTCTGCCAGAAAGGAGTGATTATGGGTGATAGCCGTCTTGGTCTGATGCCACCTGAGAATCACCTGTTCCCACCGGCTCTAGCCCGGTGAAATTGGGTGAGAATCTGGTGGCAGGAGGGAGATGAGCCTGAGTTTGCAGGCTAACAGATCATCTCTCTATGCCTCGTCTAAGACCGTGCTATGCCGGGCCTATCTTCTCGCGGTTCGAGGAACCGCGAGCGAGTGGGTGCATCCGTACTGCTGCGCAATCGCGGTGTTGTTCAACCTTTTGTTTCCCGGATTGCCTTCGTCACCCGAGATCCAGTCTATGACGACTCGGTTATTTCACGAAGCTTCGAATTGAAGTGTGACGCCGCCCTGCCAATAGAAAAGTGTGCATTTTCTGAAGGCTTCTGGCGAATCGGTGCACATGAGTGATTTGGGTCGCTGGTGACTGTTTGTGGCTTCCCTGGCCACCTGTAATATGGCCAGCCGCTTTGCCGTCTTCGGGATGCTCGCCTTGTGTGTTTCTCCTCTCCTCGTTTGACCGCGGGTAGGATGGTCCCGACTCTCAAGGGATGCACGTTCAGGCTCGTTTGTGTCCGCGTCGGTTTAAGGGACGTCAGTGTCATCTTTGACTTGATGAAGCTTCTTTATGTGATCCTCGCTACTGTATAGGCGCTCCTTTCTCTGGTCTTTGCCTTGGTTCGTGGAGATCGGCTTGCTTGTAGAGACGTCCCTCGTTTTCCATGGCGACAGTTGCGTCACCACGATTGTCCTTTTCAATTTTACGCAGGATAAGAACAATGGTTGCGGTACACACAACAAAAAAATTAAAACCACATTCCACTGTGTGGACTCGAGCTCCAACCCCTATTTTGGTCACGCAAAAACTTGGACGCACGTCCTTTCAGTTGCGCGCCAGCACGCTACTCACTACGCCACGTAAGGCAGCTTGCACGGCTTGGGAACGAAGAGTGTTGTGTCATGAGAACTAGGTCGTTGTGTGACTCAAGAGCATGAGAAGCGAATGAGAAGGCGATGCGAACGGGGCCCGATAACGCAATCGCGTTCCACTCTTAAAGGCGAAGCTTAAGCGTCCTCCAAGTTTCTCTTTTTTGCGTCATTGCCCTGCAACCTTAAGCAGAACGCGACATTCTACATGCTTTAAAAAGAAAAAGATAAAGATTAGTTTTGTCTTTTGGTGGAATGAGTTATCTGCAAACTAGCAAGGTCCCAGGCCCCAACGGGGCGTGTGTTTGTGAACTAGTCTTCTTACGCTGTGCTGGGCTTTCTAGAGCGGCGTGTCAGTCTTGTACCTGGTCTGAGGTGCGAATAACGATTCGTAGCCTTGTTCGCATGATAGACCCTCATTACAAATCGGACCGCCAGGCGTTCAGTTTTTCCACTGAACTATTCAAATTTTACACTGTGCATCGACATGCTTATACATCATATAAAGGGCAGTTTGACACTCTCGACATCCATTCCACGATGTTCTGTGCCTCTTGACAACCCTCTTCGTCCAATTTCCCAATATATTCAAAATGGTGTTTTAAATCATGTGCGTGGAAGTTCCACTAGTAAAACAAATAGAATTGGCGAATTTTCTTAAAAACCATTTTGAATAGTGTTACTTACAGCCAGCGCCAACATAGATTAAAGGGGCACTAAAGTGAATTCTTAGTTTGCAGTTGACGATGGATATTTTTTGTGAGCATCTTGCCAGAAGCACTGATTTCAATCATGCGTCTAGGACGGACTTCTATTCTCTAGTTCGTCGTCACAGCGGAAGAACATATCAAATGGGTTCAGCAATATAACATCAACCGTGAGGCTGAACACATGTAAGCTACTTTTCTAATATTGATTGAAAGGTCAAGGAGTTAACAGACATTTCGAAAAATTACCCAATCATCAAGAAGTATGTTGTGTTTGTAGGTACACGCGCTCTGCATGCTGCCGTCTGGAGCGGTAATTTTGAAACCAAAAGTTTTAAGCAA